CTGCTGTCTGAGCAGCGAGAGGCTCTCCCAGCACCCCAGAAAAAGGTAAAAGGGCCCATTTACCCTGAGCGCTCACCTTCTAGAATGCTTTTGGCCAGCAAACTGGGTGTCCTGACTTGCCTCTGGTACACGGCCTTGCGCTCAAAGTTATTCTGCTTCCCGGAGAGTCCCTTCTTGTCCTGTAAACACAGAGAGGAGATCAATAGCACCTGTGGGGCAGGAAAGGCGTGGAGACGGAAAGAAGGGGGTGGCGGGCAAACCATCCGGGACCCTCCCTCCCCCAGTCTGGATGGGTTTCTATTTCCACCCCAAGACAATGGCTCCAAAACGGATGCTACTGGACCGCCGTCCCCATGGAAACAAAAATGTTCCAACTGAAAAGATTACAGCGGTGAGAAGCGGGCGGCATGGCCGCACCTGCGTGAACAGAGACCCGGCCTGCCTCCCCGGTTTCTCTGGGGTGGTTTCACTAGTCTCCCAGCATTCTTGTGCAGAGGACTTCTGGCCAGGAATGTTGGGGCACGACAAGTCGGGGTGAATCCACAGTAGGGGCCTGGCCAAGGCGCCCACCGGTAGAATGCAAGGTCCCTGAATTGGGGCAGGTGGGAACCGCATGAGGGGAACATGAGGATTTCCTTCTCTCAGCCTCTCCCCTGCCCCACTTCCGGAAAACCCTTGGGGTCTGCAGGGGGCGCAGGGCCAGCAGACGCCCCTACCCTGGCTATCTGATGAGATTTGTGGTGGCCCAGCCACATCTTGTCCTGTCACTGACTCAGGGCTCGGGCAGCAGGAGGAGACCGAGAAGGCCTAGCCGCCCGGGTGTGTGCTCTCAGGGAGAGACCTTCATGGGATTTTCCTTCGAGGTCACTGATTCATGAGGCTTGGATACGGATGCGCACACGCACTGCTCTCTGGTAAAAAGCAAACTCACCAATTGCCCCAAGATCTGGAGAAAGCCCAGAGAAACCCCCCCTTCTGAGCTGTCCACTCTGGGGAACCTCAGTCACCTCCCTCTTCAAGAAGCCTGACTCTTGCCCCCGCTGGCGCCCTGGGAGGTGTAGACCTGGTGCCTGGGTCCTGGGGCCATTCACAGGGACCGACAAGGGCGCCTTTCCCACGCCACTGTTTGTCTCCGGGTTAAAAAAAAATTGGTCAGATGTCCACTGCGGAGGCACCCTGCGCCCTGGGCCGCCTGGCTCCTTTGCACCGTGGGGGCCACTGGGGCAACGGTATACCTGCTCCTCCACCGTCCCCCAGCAAGGACACCAAAATAAATGTTTCCATAGAAATGGCTCAAACACAGCGAAGGTCCTTGGCTTCTCCAAAGTCCTACCCACCCCCAGGGTTCTCCAATACAAAGTCCTCTCTGCAGGCAGCGACGCAGCTTTCTCCCTCTCGTCTAGAAGGCTCACACCGGCCAAAGCAACCGCGTCTTCGCTACCCTTGCGAGGTGGGCCGGGCGGCAAGGGCACAATCAAAGCCCCCCCGGGTTCCGGGCCTCAGCGTGACGCCCGGCCCGGCCGGCTGTACACACCTCGGTGGCCTGCTGCCTCCGGAGCGCCACCTGGGCGGCCATGACGCGCTGCCGCTCCACCACCAGCAAGCAGTTGGCGCACTGGCAGTCGCGCCAGCGGCAGAAGCGCTTGTGGCCCTTGAGACAGGACACGACGCCGTGGTTGCGGCAGCGCGCGCACTTGGGCGTGCGGCTCAGCTTGCGCGGCTCTGCGGGGGCGCAGCGCTCCGAGGCTCCAGCCGGGGTGCGCGGAGCCTGCGGCGCGGACAGTGGCCTGGGCCCAGTCCCCGCCGGCTCCGGCCCGCGCGGCGCCCCGGGGCCCGCGCCCGCAGCCTCGCCATCGCCTTCCTCCTCCGCGTCGCCATCGTCGTCGTCCTCCTCCTCCTCGTCTTCCTCCTCCTCGCCGTCCCCGGCGGCCGGCGGTGGCGTCCCGCGGCCGGCCTCCTCCAGCTCCAGGCTCTCCACGTCGACCTCCCAGTCCCCGGACGCCAGGCCCGCCTGCGGCTCCGCCATGGCTCCGTGCCTCCTCGGCCGGCCTGCGCGCTGCGGAGACACGGAGACCCGGGGCTGTTATTAGGGCCGCATCTGGTGCTCGGTCCCACTGGCCTCGACCCCGGGGGCACCCCCGCCCTCCACCGGTCACCCACATTCAGGTCCATGTGGCCTGCAGGGATCTCCAACCCAACCCGATTTGTCTTCCATCAATTAGCAGTGCTTGGTGAGCGGCTGACCCGGTCATTACGCACGCTTTCTGGACCAGCCCCTGGGTAGCTAACGAATTACACACACCCTGAAGTCTATGTCCAACTAGGCCGGCCTGAGTTCCTGCACTTGCCACTTGTTGGACACCGCCAAACCTAGCTGGAAGTGTAGAATAATGAAATGCAGTCAGGAACTTCGTTGATAAGGAAGGGCCACCAGCCTTGTCTCCCCAACGTCTCTGTTCTCCCTTAAGCTGGCCTGGGGGAGGCTTTCATCCCTCCAACCCAAAGAATCAGCTACACCAATATCGTCCTACTGTCTTTGAGCCATGACGGGCCGCGCAGCCAGTGTGCACCCCAGGTTTGCCTCTGTAAGGCAAATTATCCAGAAAACCCTGCAGGAGATGAGATGAGGATCCACCTCCTCTACCCACACACCCCCAACCCCCAGAGCTGCCACCGCACTCACCTACAGTCGAGAAGGGTTCGGAACTGACAGCTGGAGACCCGAGGCCACGGACCAGGGCAGAGGGCCTGCAAAGATGAGTCTTCAGCCGCCTCGCCTGCACATCCCGGACCCCGCAGAACTCTGATCGGTCCCAAGCCACGCGGGTGCTTCAACTCCTGGGAGCCGCTTTCGGCTTCTTCGGACCCGGGGTGGCCAGAGGGGTTGGCCGACCCAGCCTGCCCGGAAGCGAGGGTTCCCGAGCGGGCGGCGCTCCCAGTCCGCGCCGCGCCGCTCCCCTCGCCGCAGTCCCAGCCTCCGCTCCCCTGGCGAGTATTATCCGCTCGGGTCTCCGCTCGGATACGTTGATTGGCCGGCTGGCAGGCGGTGTGCGCTCTGATTGGCCGAGGCCCGCCGGCCGAGCGCCTCCGCCTCTTGCATCCCTGCGCTCCTCCCCGCCGCTCAGCCAGAGTCCGCCCGCGCCGCCTTCGCTGCAGCCGGGACGCGGCGCCCAACTTCACTGCGGAACCCGCCGGGAGCGGAGGGAGACGTCGCCAGGTATCTCGAGAACGGAAAAGCAGTACAGGCAAATTCTTACAAGTGTCGTGTCAACAAGAGAAGGTAAAAGACGAGACGGCAGAAGAACAGAAGGTTAGTGTAGGTCTCCACGCTGCGCGCACCTCCAGGAGAGACTTCGGCTCGATCTTTAACCCAAAGAGGAGCGCGCACAGCAGCTCCCTGCTTTCTCTGCAGGCGCAAACAACCTTGGCCCGCATCAGAGCATCTGGGTAGCCTGCGTCTGCAGCGCTCAGTAAATGTGGGACACAGGTCCCCAAGTCGCCGAACTGTGTGAGTCTCTTCCCTACATTTCCCGCTTGATCAATTATTATTACTCTTAGGCCATTGAGAAGTTTAGATACAGTTGTTCGATCGAAGGATGTTTTTAAACGCCAGCTTTTAAAGACATGGAAAAAAATTTGAAGGACTGTAGTCCGGTGTATTGGTCAAAGTGGGAAACAAGAACCACGTTCTATCGTGTCCCTCCAATATCCCTCAGATAATGTTTAATAACAAAGTTAAACTGCCACTGTAACGAACGCAGAACTGGCGCCCTAACCCAACGCTGCCTTTGATTTCGTAAGCCAAGTTCAGAAGTGCTGAGACACTTCTAGTTACCCAGATCATTGATCAGTAGATATTGGCGGAAGGGAGGTATCTGCTGAACCGGTACGAAGAGACTGTTCTCCCAGCTCGTCGGAAAGTTAGAAATTAACGAAGCTCCGAAAACAAAGGCGCCCTAGGAATTTCCTCCAAACGAAAACTCCTAGGTATCCATCCACATGCCCTTGGCCAGGCGCTGGGACCTCCGTTCGTCCCAGCTGTGCTCCCCCAGGGCCGGGCTTGCCAGGCAAAGAGAAACGTCTTGCTGATTTCCTGGCCACTGCTTGGTCCTCTGGGCATCAGTGGACCTGCGGGGGGGCGCGCTCAGATCTCAGACCCCAGACTCTCAAACCGCTGGTCTCTCTAGCTCTCTCCCGCACCCCTCCACCCTGCCTGCGGTGAGTTTTCCCTTTGCGTGTTTTTTATACTCGCCCAAGTGCTGTTTTGTTTTTTGTTTTGTTCCGAAGCCTCTGTTAACAAGAGCGGCTGCGATCTTGACAGACAGTCCTGTGCAGCGGATAGGTGGGAAGGCGTTATTTTTCCTGGGAGTTTGTGGGGAGTGGTTGGTCAGTGAAGTGCCTGATCTGCGCTTCCCAGAGGGGTCCTGATCTGGACTCTGGGGAAGAGTGCCACTGGCGAGCACCTGTCCGATTCTCCCAATACCTCCGAAATGGCTTGGGCGGCAGTCCGTGGATTTTGCATTTGTTTTTGGCTATTTTGGCTATGCCCTCTTTCTGTGGCAGGGTCCTGCACCCGATATTTCTGGCTTTTTTCAGAATCTGTCTCTTAGCTATATGTCCGCCTTTGTAAAGAGGTAGTTTATAATGATTTTGCTCCAAATAAGTCCTTGCAAATGAGAACGCCCCACCGGGGCTCTGAGTCCCCACCAGCAACCGGCAGGCAGGCCTTTTCTCTTTCTTCTTTCTCCTTGCTGTTGTTGGGGGCTGGGGTGGGGGCACCAAGAGAGAAAGACCTGGCAACCCGTTCCCCTAAAAATAACCCCCCAAGAAACCCTGAGTCAGTTCGACCCTGTCATGGTGGTGGCTGTGTGTCTCTGAATTGATTGACGGTGTCCACAACCTTGACTTTCTAGGCCTGAACGGGAATAAGGTAATTGTAAAGATTAAGAGACAAGGCCCAGGGACGCTGGTAACCAGACGGAGAGTGTCTATCTCCTCAGGTAAAAACAAATAAATCGCTCTAATGAGCACCTCAGGGCGATTGTGCGCAAAACCATGCAGCCTGATGCCAGAGCTGGAGAAGGACAGGCAGTGGGGAGCCTCCGAGGGTGCTGGTGCTGGAACTGGACCCTACTGAGATGACCAGAACCTTTGGGCACAGTCAGCCACGTGCACGGGACTGGGCGCTTGGACATAGCTTCCTGCACTTTCCAAGTGGGGTGGGCCCAGAGCCATTTCCTCCCTATCTTCTCCCTGCTATGCCCCCACCCACCCGCATCCTGGCACTTCCCCCCACCCCACCTGACTTCTGATTACTTCCAGTTCCCTCTCCCACATCTCTTGCGCTCCACTCCCCTGCACCCAGGACTCCCACGCTTGGGACAGACAGTGGAATTTACACTTTCTCCCCGCGACCATGAGCACTTCTGCCCTCAGCCCCTTCCCACCAATGGCTGGGAGCAGAAGCGATAGAGGTGGGAGGGAGCTTGACTTTTATCCTAGAAGGATCTTCCGGGATCCCAGAAGCTCCCACGCCGAATGCAGAATTATCCACACTTTTCTGGGACCAGAGAGCAAAGCTTTGACCAGATCCTAAGAGCAACTGCTGGCTACCCAATCTGGCCCTAAACCCAACCCAAGCCTGCCCTTTGTCCACTCCGGCTCCTAACCCACCTGTGGGGAGGAGGAGAGCTGCTCAACGGGTTTCCAAGGCTGGAAATCACTGCGCAAAGCCCACTGCCACGTCCCCTGCCCCACCCTCGGTACTTGACCCAGCGCTCCAGACACTGCACCACCAGAGCTGCATGGCGGGAGCAGTAAAATAGGAAGAGGGCTCTTTCTTGGCTCCAGTGAGTGTGCAGACTCATAAACAAAGGAGAGAGAGAGAGAGGGAGAGAGAAGCTCACGGCCACTCAATGAGTTCACAGCAGACCCTAAAGGACTGGGCAGGACTGCCCCTGAGGGTTTCCCAGACGGTAACTCTTTAAGGGAGTAGGAAGCCCCCTCTTACTCCAGCAAAGGATGTGATGGTTTCAAACTGCTGCTCATGCGGGTAGCAACCCCCCCAAGGGGAACCATCACCGGGCTCCTCGGCTCATTTACTCCACCGATGACAGGCTCTCCCATCCCAGTGCCCCCTAAGCTTGACAAAAGGGAGGCCCCCTTTAAAGGGGGACCTGTTAGCGAGGAAACAGCCGTCCTTCAGGCGTGTAAGCAGACACCAAATGACTACGTGTCCCTCGGCGTCCCTGTGGAGTCCATTAGGACACTGAGAAGTCGCCGCAGACTCCGTGCCTGGGGCTGGGCTGGGAGTCCCGCGTCTTCCGTGTAGATTTTCACCCGGACGGAGGCGCTGGTCTCCGAGCGAGCTACTGGACTTGCAGTGAGGGCGGGGGACTTCTTCTCTGTCTTAAAAGCCCCTCCTTCTCCAAGTTTCACACCCCTGGGTACTCCCCGCCATCGGTGCAAACCCTAGGGAAAAGGGGGCAGGGAGATCTCCCTTTCTCTGGATACGGATGGCTTTTATTCCCCCGCTTCAAACCCTCTCCGCCTGGGAACCTGGGCTCCCTCTTTGTTCTCTTCCCTCCTGAGTGTGCCTCCCACCCGCGTGGCCACACCGGCTGGCCACAGGCTAGGGGACCTGTGCTTCACCAGCATGGCTCTGCCACTCCGCAAGGCTCCAGAGAGCCCCTGTCCTCCCCGTACTCTTCATTCACCTTGGGGACAGAGGAGAGTCTCAACCTTCCTCTGAACACACACACACACACACACACACACACAGCCATCTCCTAGGATAGAGTAGAACTGAGTCTTGGTACCTGGCTGCCCCCCACCCACCCCCGCAGATGATGGATAGCTTCAACACCTGACTTTGTGGTCAGTGGCCCACCAGCCCTACAGTGTCACTGTCGCTGCAGCGCCTTGGAAGTGGGCTTAGGAAAGGGGACCCTTAACCTCCTCCGCCTGCGCCTCACTTTCCTCAGCTGCAGGGGCACTCACCACAAACCTAAAGGTGGGTGGATCAAGGCTGCACCGTGGAAGAAAGGCCTGGTGAGCTGCGACCCTAAAGTACGCAAACCCCGTGGAACCGTTCCTGTGTGTCAGAATGGACTAGTGACTCGTGGTTTGGTTTTGTGTTGTTTAAAGCCAGGGAGGGGGGAGCTCAGAGTGCAGACTCAGTATGGGGGCGGGGCATGGGGGTGGTTGCTATGACCTGGGAGTCTACATTGAACTTCTGAGAACCGTTCAGCTCCAGCATGGGGTGGGAGTAAGGGTGGAAAGTTCTCCAGCTTCGGGGTTTGCTGACAGGCGGCTCCCCAGGGAAGGGAGGGACCTTGCGGTCTTCTTGTCCAGCGCGCAGCCCCATGTTTCTGAGGGTTCATCCAGAGTCTGGAGGCCCAGGAGACCCGGAGCCTGCTGCGCCCCCAGAGCTGGGTGACTTGCAGAGCTGCCTGGGCACCTGGGGAGTTCTTTGTGGGGCCAACCCCTTCTGGCTTCTCCAGAGATGACCTGCCCCAACACTGCACTGACCCGAAATAAATCATCCCAAATGGGCTGCCCAGAGAGGATTTCCCAATGTGCTTTTCGTAATCAGATGGACTCCCTGTCACATGCAATTGGTGGGGAGCTTGGGGAGGGGAGACTATGTTTGCAGGAGAAACTGCCCTCCCCCTTTCTCCAGCTCTGAGCTAAGCAAAGGACAGGCCTAGCTGGCTCCCTCCTGGAAAGGCTTGTTTGGGCCACGCCCCTCATTTTATTCCTGGAGGGGGTCTCTGAGGCTCTGGGACCTGCCTGGGCAGACCTGGCCCTCAGGGGTTGTCACTGTCAGCCTGCACAGTGGATCTGATGGTGGGCTGCTCCTGGCTCACAGCA